GCAGTGCGATCAGGTGTCAACATACATTTAGCTATATAGTTCATCTTGGCTTAATCATGTAAATCTTGCCTCCATAATGAAGGACAACTGTTCTTCCAATATTTAGCTATTAATACATGTAGATCATGTACAATAATGATAATTAGCTAAGTAGCTAGATAGCTAGATTTGTTTGGCTATAAACATTTATTGCTAGCTGTGATTAGTAGGACAGTTTTCAAGATAGCAGTTTAGGGATAAAGTATTGTTCTCTAATGGCATTGATTGAAACACTGAGCTTACATTTTGAAGAGTGGTCTTCATCTGTACAACGGTGTAGGGGAGTCTTTATGAATGAAACTAGTCTTCTTTCATAGATCATGGTGCTATTGCTAAGCTCGCTGGTGTGTTCTTGGTTGTATCTTGTAGCTCAGTGATGTAGATAAGATAATAAGATAAAAAGATACTATAAACCAGTAATATCATGTTTCACCTCCACCTACCACTACCCTACACCTATAAATGAGTGAAACGTTTAGCTAGCTCAGATAGAAAACTGAGTTACGATTTACAATTCACAGTTGTTTTGCAGAAAAGAAATGTACTGATTTTTGGTATAGGACCACCCTCCCCAACCAGACATATTCTTAAATGATCTTAGGTCTGTATGAACAGACTTTTAGCAATGCTTTATCAATAATGCAGGCTGAATATGACACATCTTCTCAGTTTCAGTGATGAATATGCAGAGCTGAGCCCATGTGGGGTTCAATGACAAATGTCTGGAGAAAAAGAGGGAACAGGCATATGCTGCATGTAATATTGATTATAGCCCTTGTTCTCCATGGGCCTTTTGTTGATGTTTATGTGCAAGACTGGGAACAAAATGAGGGCCTTTCACGCTTTGCAAGACATTGCTAGCTGGCTTGGATGAAAATTTTGCTGGAAAGAGAAAAAGGAGCGATAGAACATTCAGTGATAATGGAAACTGACTCTCGTGTTCTGTCAAGAGCGAGAGAACAAAAGAGTGTTTGAATGCCTGTGACTGCCTGTGTGTATGTGTGTAAGAGAGAGAGTGAGAGAGAGTAACAGAGAGCAGAAAGAGAGACAGGAATGTGTGTGTAGGTGTGTGCAGAGGCTAAGAGGATAGTCTTGAGCAGGGTTTAGAGTCACTGGCCTGAGTGCCCACTCTGATGGAAGGTCAAGGCCCGAGGCCGTGTATCTCTGTGGGTGTGGAACTCAAACGTTTTAATCAGAACAGTGTGTCAATGCTCTTTTGTTTGCTTGCCCGGACTTAGGACAGGCCTACCCGGCTAGCACAGGAAGCAAGTGCTTCTCTTCATGAGCAAGAAGGATTGAGGAGAGAAGGATAAATGGGATAAGAGAAGAAAGAGAGCATTGAACTTGTGTGTGTGTGTGTGTGTGAATGTGTCATAAGAATGCTTGAGCTCTACAGTGAGCATGTGTGCACTTTCACACATTTTCAGGAAACGTCCTGGTTTTGCAGGAAAACGAGAGAAAAGAGAAAAGCAGGGCTAACCTACATTATTAGGACAAACAAACATTCCAAACTTTATACAGTGCTTTTGTATACGTACATTTAAATACCATATTGTTGCTGTCCAAAAAAAAATATATATATTTTCATAATGATTGGACCAACAGAAATGCTCCAAAATAGGCCCTTTTTCTGCTGGAAGTTCTCGTTGTTGGGTTAAACTCAAAGTAAAACAACTTTGCCTCAGTTTTATTGGCTTCTCAGCTGATGAGAAAGAGGAAAAATGGGGCAAAGAGGAAAAAAGGGGATGAAGGAATGAACTCTATCATATGGAGGGGAAGGACTTTTGTGTTAGCATTTCACTGCTGCTGATCAACGTTACCCTGAAAGCAGTTCATGCTTTAAAATTGGTCCTGCTCATAACCGATTTCAGTGGAACAGTTTTCATGTCCCCCCTCAAAAGCTGCCTGCATTTGAGAGTGCATGTCGTTCACTGGAAATGGTGGTTGTGGAAATCGTCTACAGTGGCCCTATGGACCACCACAACAAGGCACGCCCCCTAGCATTTTTGCTTTTTGCTAACTAGTTTATTGTTAGCAAGCTACGTCAACATCTCCAGCTAATATGGCTAATCTAGCTTTTTGGTTATATTTATTTTCACTCATGATAATGAAATTTTAGTAGTTTTACATAGTGTTAGAATATCTCAAACTATTTTTACTTTTGCTGCGAGTTTCATTCATGAAACTTTTGTACAATGTGGAAACAAATGCAGCACAAATGATGTATCAGCTTCAGTGCCTGAAATCAAGAGTAATCAACCAGTACTTCATTTACATATCATTTACATGAAGCACACCCTAATGTGTCAGAAGGGAGCAAATAAAATGGCAGCATTCAGTAGCATGTAAGCCAATGGCTGTGGTTGTAGGCAGAGTTTGAGGTCGAGCAGTGAGTGCACTCCTCTACCTACTGACCAAATTTCATAGTGTTAAAATTATGATGCATTATTAGCATCATTGTCATTTTGTATTTTCATTCCTATTATTGTTATTATAGATGATACTGAAAATCATTAACTGCAAATCAGGCATTTTTTCTATTAGTTGTTAAACTGTTATGCTCAAATTGAAGCACACTCCTACCAGATTTGAGTTTAATTATAAAGATACTGCAAAGATGAAACTGATGTGGTGAAATTTGCATGTGCTCATTTTATGATCAGTTTTGATGTATGCAACTTTAATGAATAAGGGTCACTGACACCATAACACACCATCCTCAATCAGCGTATTCAACAGTTGCTAAAAGCTAATCGCTAAAATAGAGATGAACCACTAACATAATTAGGTGCTTCAGTTTGCTTTGAGCTGTAAGAAACCACTTTTCAATTTCTGTGAAAGGGCAAAACCATTTATTTTGGGTGCTGAGGTTTAGGGTTAGGCTTAGAAAGCTTCTTATTACATATTAGGTATATTATTCATTTGGGATATATATGGACAGTACTACAGAGTTAGTTCAAACTGCAGTCCCACAATAAAAAAAAACAAATTTAAAAAGTATTGAGACCTTAGATGATTAATATAAAGACGTAATAAAACATAATCAAGGTATAGTTTCACTCAAAGCAAAAAGATTTTAGTCAAACTCCCAAAGGTGTTTTCAACTTTGACTTTGAACTGTGATCCATAATGGATCCCATGTCCTGACACTGTAAAAAATACTATATAAAACTGTGGGTGTGTGTGTTGAATCCATTGCAATCAGTCCCCTGGGATTCGGAGACTCTGCTATTGACTTTGTTCACATAAAAAGTGATCAGCTAATTAGTTCAGAAAAAACATACATGTACACACACATATACTGCTCGTCATCCTGTGACTGGGGTCTCTGGGACTTTAAGCCCTATAGAAATTTCACAGATTAGAAGACATGATATAAAAATAATCCCATTACATATGATACCATTTTTTCTGTTCTTCTCCCCAAAACCCTCAGCTTCTACCACCGAACAGAGAAGCCCTTTGCATCCATACAAGCCATCTACAGAACCTTTCAGTGAGGGTTATTCTGTTTATAAACTCAGAATACTTCAGAATATGAAATATAGCTGTACTGGGTATAATCTCTGGATGCACCTCTTGTTTGTGACAGTGATTTAATCATTGGCCTTCTGTAAGCCACACACGTCTCCCCCTGGTCAATATATCTACTATTAAGGTTGTTGTAAGAATATTATATTATCCAACAAATTCCTAGGAATTTGTTGCTTGGTTTAATAAATTTTATCTTCGAAAATTATTCCATTGCAAGTTATTTTTGATTGGTTCAAGAAATAATGCAGATTATTTTGCTTGTTTAAAGAAATAATGCTTGAAACAAGCAAAATATGTGCCAGTGGAATAAGGCGCTTTTACTAGATAAACATACTTCTAATATTCTTACAACAATGACATAATGAAGAACATTAGAAATGTTAACTAGATTTAATGTGGCATTCCAGCCTACAAATAGAGTTTATTATCCTGTTTGTCATACTCTGCAGTATTCCGTAGTGCAACACTGCGGCATAATTGGTTTGATAGAATTTGAGATGTTGTATCATTTTCATGTTTTTGTTTTTGTTTTTTTTTGTTCTCTTACTACAGTACCCAGCATGCATTATGCTAATACACCATACAGCTATTACAACTGGTAATCAGTGTAGTGTCCAGCACAAAATGGCCAAACTACAGTATCTTGATAGCCAGGTAGCTGTTATCTTGTTGTCCTCTTCATCTTATAAATCCTTTCTGTTGTTTGTGTGATCCAGTCTCTCCATTATAATGATGATTTGAAGACTTTAGCTACACAGTCTAAATAAGATATTCAGCTTTCTAACAGTAAGATTAGCTATCTGCCTTCTTTCTGCAATCACCTAGCTAATGAAAACAAAAATTCAAACAGTCAGCCCACAAAAATCCACCCCAAAGCTGTTTCAGGTTTTCAAAAGTTCCTCCCACCTTCAAGAGAAATTATTAGAAGGTTATTCTAGCCTTTAAACTAGAAAATCTCACTCAAGGGCCTTCTGTGGGTGTGTGTAATCACGCTTACAACAGATGTAGTGATGGTCACATTATTCAGTTTGACTGAAGGGTTTCTTTAAGATGTTACCACATGCTAATACATCATTTTCACGGTGTAGCTTAAAGATAAGCTTTCTAAATGAACAAGAGAATACTTTTCTAAGTGACTCTTGATAGAAATAAGAACGCCTGCCAAATGTAATTTAATGTTTTTTTAAGTTTATTTACACCTTCTGAAACCACTGTCTACCTTTTACATTGTATGAACATTTCATGATGAATGGACCAATAGAAATGAATAAAATCCAGTTACATTAACATATATTTTAGAACATTTTCCTCCTTCTATGAAGTTATCATTTCACAGATACCAGGTTTTATTACAAGAGTGACAAAATGTCTATGTAAATTGACGGGTGTAGTGTGACTAAACATGCTGCAATACAGCGAAAACTCACCTTTCTGTGCTGCCGGACAGGTGGGCAACACGTGGGCTTCCAGTCGCTCAAACTCAACTTGCTGGCAGCTTTAGAAACCTGACGCTTGGTGTCCTGCTGGAGATGGATTGAGCTCTTTCGGCTCTTCGGATCAGATCCCTTAAACTCCACATAGACGTGAGCACAAACGCACAGCACGCAGAGGAGCACACACACGCGCAGCAACACACACCTGTTCACCCTCTCTTTCAGCATGCTGCAGTTTCTCTGTTCTGCTCGAGGTCTCTCGCCCTTTCTCTCTCTTTCCTGTTATCCTCAGACAGGGACTCAAGTTTCGCATTCATGAGTTTCTCTCTCCATCTCCAAGTCTTTGGACTGTCTTTCTCTCCTTTTCTGTGGTTAACTTTAAAGTTGTTTTGTTGTCTTTGCATTCATGAGTTCTCCATTTCCATATTTTCTCTTTTTCTCTGGTTAACTTCTTTAACTTCTGCTTATTCCATTCTCTTCACTCCTCTCTTCTCTTTAGGGTTTCTGTCCATCGCTCGCACAAGACTGAGTTAAAGCACAGCAAGTTCTCTGGTTACAAAGTCCACCGTCTGTAAACATTCTTGTGCACACTGGTGTGTATGTGTGCTAGTGACACTCTGAAAGTACTAGCTAAAAAAAAAACTTAAGACTTGGTTCAGAACTTCGGGAACTCCCTCCCTCATGGATATCCCAAAGACACACGCAGGCACACACAACTTTCTGGGACCTCCCCCAACATCTGCAGCCCTGGAGAGATCAGACTAGACCAGACGGCAGCAGGATTTTTCTTCAGCCTCTCTGCGTGACTATGGTGTGAGAGCAGACGGTAGAAGGAATTTCCTTTAGCCTCTCTGCATGACTGTGGTGTGAGATTTGCAACCTATTGAAACACATTCAGCAAAAACTATACAAGCTATGCAGACTATAACCAAATCTCCGATACTCAAGGTCAGCAGATGGTGCTACAACACAGGAGATGGACCTTTCAATGTAGAGAAACCGTACTCAAATGGGAACCCCACTGGTTTTTCATTTAATTTCATCGTTGAGATGTAAACAGTCATTCGACAGTGGTGGTGATAGTAACCAGGGGTTGCAAAGTCTACAACACAAATACAGCCATTCTATTTGCTATTCAAACCACCAGTGAACCTATACCTGTGTTCTGGGTTCTTACATGTAATGCTGAAAATGAAAAAAGTGGTAAATCTGAAAAATTATAGGTTTTCTGTGGGAACTATTTTGCCTGAGAACACCATGAGCATACCTCTCCATCCTGCATGGGTTTTGAAAATACACTTTAGGGTAAAAGATCATTGCAAAATATTTTAAAACAATGTCCCTGACATCAGGCGGCATATTCATTACTATTTCATGTAAGAACTTTCTGTAAGGGGAGCTTTTAGAGACATTAAACTATTCAGACGTCTGGTTCCTATCACAACCACTGTAAACAATTCTGACTCAGTAAGTTCCTCTAGAATGGAGCATTTTACATCAAGCCACTCTGACTTTGTTTACATCTTAATGATTTAATAATACAATTTTTTTCCCCTTTCAGTGAAAGTTCAGAAACTATGTGTAAAATGATTTGCAGAGTGTGAACTGTAAATGTTCTAACAAATAAACTGAAAATGTTCTTTGTCTGGTGGTGTTTAATGCAGTGGTGTGCGGTGCTGTGACTAATGGGCGGTACTAATCCTCTCACAAAGACAAATAGCACAACTGTGGGCAATACAATTTTACAACAATATGAATTTAGCTGGGTGTTTTAATGAAAACAGTTAATTCAAAATGCACAAGAGCACAACTGTTTGATCAAAAAAAAATATTAAATATTAAATTTAAAATCAATTTTAATAATACTTGAGCAAAGCACAAATCTTCCAAAAATACTCACCCCTGGTTTCTACACATCACTCTCTACCATGTCCCATCTAAATGTAGCAGTGACCCTATGAAGACAATGCTGCACACCTGGACCTTCTCTGGAGCTCCTTTTTACACTTAAGCTACATGGCTAAAGTAGCTGATGCTGCATTCAGGACCAAGTGGGAATCCTGAAATGAAGACTTCTAAGTAAAAAAAAAATCTGAACTTGAAATTTCCACTCAGAAAGTCTGAGTTTCTTAAGAGCTCTAACCTTGGCAGCAGCCATAGAACAAGAAGGAATGGCATGTTTTAGATGTTTTAAACAGACTTCCGAGTATAATGTGGATAAATACAGGATGGTATTGGGATAATTGTAGGGTTAAGCCCTTCGGTAGAAAAAAAGTACCAGCACACCTCCATTGCTGCTGACCAGCACACCAGCATCCAAAATACAATATATGCTGGTTTTGGTAGTGAGAGGGGTCAGAAAGTACCAAAGCAAGTCTATTTGAGATTACTTAACTACTCAGTTTATGTATCTGATGTGTAGGCATGCAATTTGCATGATGCTAACTTGAACTTGTTAACCCTGCTAGAAAATCCAGCATAGGCCAGCATGGCAGGTCACAAGCAAAACCAGGATAAGTTGTGTTTTGGATGCTGGTATGCTGACCAGCTCAACTTGCATCAGACCAGCACAAGACCATCATAAACCTCAAGCTGCTCTGTGCTGTTTTTTCAGTAGAGAGCTAAGTACATTGGCCTTGTAGCTCCAGTGCAAAACTAAAGAATTGTTTCAGAGCCATTGACCAATTGTGTTTCACACAGAGGAATTTGACCTCCGCATTTAACCCATCCTTGCAGTGAAGCACCCACACTAGGGGGCCATGAGCACACTTGCCTGGAGCAGTGGGCAGCCCTCTCCATAGCACCCGGAGAGCAGTTGGGGATTAGGTGCCTTACTCAAAGGCACTTCAGTCATGTCATGTTTGCTCAAGGGACCAAACCAAAACACTGCGGACTAGCATGTTGCCTCATTAAACACACCCGATTCAGCTCATCAGCTAATTAGCAAGGCCTTCCTAAACTGAATTCAGTGTTAGATGAGGGTAAACGTTTATATTTCAGCACTTTGAAACAGAAGCTCCCCAGTTTGACATGCCTGATAGTATAGCAGAATTCAAAACGTTGCAAAACGATAGTGATAATGGACAAACTTCTTTTTTCTCTCCACTTCTGTCTGCCTTCTGTTATGCACAGTATCTCTGGTTGATGTTAGCTGTGAGGAATTACAGAGTTTATGCAGTTAAACTTTGTTTCATATTTCATGCAACACTGATAGTAATCTCACAATCATTTGGGCCAAGCTTCATTAACTGTCTTGCTAAAGATAAGTCAGAAATTGCTCCAAAGCGTGCATTAATGAATTTGTAAAAACCCAAGACACTGCATTAAGGAAAATGTTACTCAACTTTTGCATCACATGTGGGAAAAGATTTAAAAAAAGAACATATAGCCTGCTCATTTGACCTGTTTCATTTGGTATTGAGGAGGTGTATTGTTTAAAGCTTTGTAAAATGTAATATGTTGGGAAATGGCAAACTAACCAACTCTCTTTTTTGTATATGTTTATGTTTATATGAAATGCATGGACTAAAATGTCATTCATAGCACAATACTGCCCCCTGTTGGATAGTAGCTGTAAGGAGGTTACTAGAATGGCCACTGCATTATGGACATGGAGGGAAAATCTGCAGAACACATCCGCAGAGGCCTGTTGTCTGTTTCCATAACAAATAAATGTGAAAGATTCAAAGGTGCATGGCACTGCTTTCCTGATTATACCATATGTATCATGGCCATGTTGTCCAGCCCCAGTCCTGGAGGGCCAGTATCCAGCGCAGCTTGGTCATTTTCTTGCCCAAACACACCTGATTCAATTCAGACACCCCTGCTTTATATGATATATTCATTAGCCAGACTAGATACCTACTGCTTCACTGCCTAAAGATACCAAAGAAACAACTTTTGGTTTCTTAAAGAACAATGTATACCTACACTAGATTCTGCCACTGTAATACATTGTCTGTCCCAAACTTGCTCTGTTTAATCACTTTAATTCAGTTGCAGAGTTAATCCTCGTTTATGCCAATTAATCTAAGTATACATTTGTATTTCTGGTAAGGTTAAATTTCAATGACATTTTCCTCCAAATTTGTCAGAATCAGTTTCTGGTGGTATGATTCTGGGTAGGGGAGGTCCCATACAAGCCCCTATTTGATTAAAAATACACTTAGGAATGGGAAGATAAGGAAATATTATAAAGCAAATACTTACTAACCTTTGGGGTTGTCATGAAACCTGATTTTAAGTCTAACAGTGCCCAGAGCTTAATGTTCTTAGCCATCTGCAGACACAAAAATGATAGGCAAGTTGTTGTTTTAGCTTGGCAATCATCTACCAAAGATTGTTTTGCATGAGGGTGAGGGGACATCCTCTATTGACCACTGCCTCTTCTGTCTTTCCCAGGATGGAAACAGGAGCAACCAACAACCAATTGGGGGCCAGGTCAACTGGTTTTGGTTGAAAAGTCTTCAGGTCACCTTTGGAGGACTTGTTGGGCTTTTGGGGAAGTTTTTTTGTTAGCTTGCTGCTGCAAGCTGACTGCAGCGCTTGGCTCTAGTAGTCCTTCAAGGCTGCCCAGTCCTTTTCCACCAAGGCACCAACCTTCCCCAGATGGTCCACTATATCTGCTACACCCCTCAGGCGGGTTGCCAGTCTTGGGTTAGAAGCATTGAGTGTTCTTCTAACAATCTCCTCCTCTGCTATGTCAGGCTGTCATTTCAAACATCAGGCTAGATCGTCACAGGTAAAGTCTCTCTCTTGTGTGGGAGCCTGCAGTATGTGTGTTTGTTGGTCTGGAATTTCTGTTAAATAATCAGTAGGTAAGAAAGCATCCATGAATGCCACCTTGAATTGAGCCGAATTTGAAATATTCTTTTTTGCTGCCTGCTACCAACAGCTTCTAGTGTTCCCTTAAGTTCAGGATCAGTAATGAGTCTAAGTGTGAGGATGGCTTCACATCCTTCCATAAACTCAATGACATCAGAAGAACCTCATGATAGTCCGAACTCTGGCAGATTCAACTTAAATGGAGTGGGAACTGTGAGAGACTGGCTGTACGGATAGATGTGGGACTGAGAAGCTGTTCTTACATCTTTAGGATGGTTGGTATGGAAGTTGTTTGCACATAAATGTGTAAAATGATGCATGCTAGTCCTGTGCAACTTCATGGGCAGCAAATAATTACCAGAAAGTTGTTAAAAAATGCAAGTTACAAGTTACTCAAACTTCTTAGTTGAGTCAAAAATTCTCCCAGCTACTGTTTCTAGGTCTGCATCTCAGTTAGATAAACAAGACTGAATTTGTGTTTTTTTACTCAGTTTCCCCATTAGCTGGCACTCCTTGTATCACACAGTCCTATCTGGCATATTTTCCTCTTGGGCTTCTAGAAATAGACAGCTATGGTGTTGCTGGGATTCAAACTTACAACCATCTGATGTTGGGATTAGACAGTTGTACCACATGAGACTACGCCATGCTTTAATGTCAAAACAACAAATCTTTTCTGCAGTGTATTAAACAATCGTAGCCACAAAATCTGAGTTGCGTCATGTGTTCCTGAGTGGTGCTGTGGACTAACTAAGCCATCACACCAACAGGAGATTGTGAGTTCGAGCCCCAGCAATGTCATTGCCTGCCCTAAGTGTGTACCCAAGAGGAAAAATGTCTAGCAGGATTGTGTGATGGAAGAATCCTGGCTGAAGAAGCATAAAAAAAGTTCTTTTTATTTACCTAACTGAGATGCAGAACTAAAACAG